TTTTTTGATGATGGCCATTCTGACTGGTGTGAGATGATATCTCATTGTAGTTTTGATTTGCATTTCTCGAATGATTAATGATGTTGAGCATTCTTTCATGTGTTTGTTGGCAGTCTGTATATCTTCTTTGGAGAAATGTCTATTTAGGTCTTCTGCCCATTTCTGGATTGAGTTGTTTGTTTTTTTGTTATTGAGCTGCATGAGCTGCTTGTAAGTTTTGGAGATGAATCCTTTGTCAGTTGCTTCATTTGCAAATATTTTCTCCCATTCTGAGGGTTGTCTTTTTGTCTTGTTTATGGTTTCCTTTGCTGTGCAAAAGCTTTGAAGTTTCATTAGGTCCCATTTGTTTATTTTTGTTTTTATTTCCATTTCTCTAGGAGGTGGGTCAAAAGGATCTTGCTGTGATTTATGTCATAGATTGTTCTGCCTATGTTTTCCTCTAAGAGTTTGATAGTTTCTGGCCTTACATTTAGGTCTTTAATCCATTTTGAGCTTATTTTTGTGTATGGTGTTAGGGAGTGATCTAATCTCTTACTTTTACATGTACCTGTCCAGTTCTCCCAGCACCACTTATTGAAGAGGCTGTCCTTTCTCCACTGTACATTCCTGCCTCCTTCATCAAAGATAAGGTGACCATATGTGTGTGGGTTTATCTCTGGGCTTTCTATCCTGTTCCATTGATCTATATTTCTGTTTTTGTGCCAGTACCATACTGTCTTGATTACTGTAGCTTTGTAGTATAGTCTGAAGTCAGGGAGCCTGATTCCTCCAGCTCCGTTTTTCGTTCTTAAGATTGCTTTGGCTATTCAGGGTCTTCTGTGTTTCCATACAAATTGCGAAATATTTTGTTCTAGTTCTGTGAAAAATGCCAGTGGTAGTTTGATAGGGATTGCATTGAATCTATAGATTGCTTTGGGTAGTAGAGTCATTTTCACAATGTTTATTCTTCCAAGAACATGGTATATCTCTCCATCTATTTGTATCATCTTTAATTGCTTTCATCAGTGTCTTATAATTTTCTGCATACAGGTCTTTTGTCTCCTTAGGTAGGTTTATTCCTATATATTTTATTCTTTTTGTTGCAATGGTAAATGGGAGTGTTTTCTTGATTTCACTTTCAGATTTTTCATCATTAGTGTATAGGAATGCCAGAGATTTCTGTGCATTAATTTTGTATCCTGCTACTTTACCAAATTCATTGATTAGCTCTAGTAGTTTTCTGGTAGCATCTTTAGGATTCTCTATGTATAGTATCATGTCATCTGCAAACAGTGACAGCTTTACTTCTTCTTTTACGATTTGGGTTCCTTTTATTTCCTTTTCTTCTCTGATTGCTGTGGCTAAAACTTCCAAAACTATGTTGAATAAGAGTGATGAGAGTGGGCAACCTTGTCTTGTTTCTGATCTTAGTGGAAATGCTTTCAGTTTTTCACCATTGAGGACGATTTTGGCTGTGGGTTTGTCATATATGGCCTTTATTATGTTGAAGAAAGTTCCCTCTGTGCCTACTTTCTGGAGGATTTTTATCATAAATGGGTGTTGAATTTTGTTGAAAGCTTTCTCTGCATCTATTGAGATGATCATATGATTTTTCTCCTTCAATTTGTTAATATGGTGTATCACATTGATTGATTTGCGTATATTGAAGAATCCTTGCATTCCTGGAATAAACCCCACTTGATCATGGTGTATGATCCGTTTAATGTGCTGTTGGATTCTGTTTGCTAGTATTTTGTTGAGGATTTTTGCATCTATGTTCATCAGTGATATTGGCCTGTAGTTTTCTTTCTTTGTGACATCCTTGTCGGGTTTTGGTATCAAGGTGATGGTGGCCTCATAGAAGGAATTTGGGAGTGTTCCTCCCTCTGCTATATTTTGGAAGGGTTTGAGAAGGATAGGTGTTAGCTCTTCTCTAAATGTTTGACAGAATTTGCCTGTGAAGCCGTCTGGTCCTGGGCTTTTGTTTGTTGGAAGATTTTTAATCACAGTTTCAATTTCATTGCTTGTGATTGGTCTGTTCATATTTTCTATTTCTTCCTGATTCAGTCTTGGCAGGTTGTGCATTTCTAAGAATTTGTCCATTTCTTCCAGGTTGTCCATTTTATTGGCATAGAGTTGCTTGTAGTAATCTCTCATGATCTTTTGTATTTCTGTAGTGTCAGTTGTTACTTCTCCTTTTTCATTTCTAATTCTATTGATTTGAGTCTTCTCCCTTTTTTTCTTGATGAGTCTGGCTAATGGTTTATCTATTTTGTTTATCTACTCAAAGAACCACCTTTTAGTTTTATTGATCTTTGCTATTGTTTCCTTCATTTCTTTTCATTTATTTCTGATCTGATTTTAATGATTTCTTTCCTTCAGCTAACTTCGGGGTTTTTTTGTTCTTCTTTCTCCAATTGCTTTAGGTGCAAGGTTAGGTTGTTTATTCGAGTTGTTTCCTGCTTCTTAAGGTAGGCTTGTATTGCTATAAACTTCCCTCTTAGAACTGCTTTTGCTGCATCCCATAGGTTTTGGGTCGTTGTGTCTCCATTGTCATTTGTTTCTAGGTATTTTTTAATTTCCTCTTTGATTTCTTCATTGATCACTTTGTTATTAAGTAGTGTATTGTTTAGCCTCCATGTGTTTGTATTTTTTACAGATCTTTTTCTGTAATTGATATCTAGTCTCATGGCATTGTGGTTGGAAAAGATACTTGATACAATTTCAATTTTCTTAAATTTACCAAGGCTTGACTTGTGACCCAAGATATGATCTATCCTAGAGAATGTTCCATGAGCACTTGAGAAAAATGTGTATTCTGTTGTTTTTGGATGGAGTGTCCTATAAATATCAATTAAGTCCATCTTGTTTAATGTATCATTTAAAGCTTGTGTTTCCTTATTCATTTTCATTTTGGATGATCTGTCCATTGGTGAAAGTGGGGTGTTAAAGTCCCCTACTATGAATGTGTTACTGTTGATTTCCCCTTTTATGGTTGTTAGTATTTGCCTTATGTATTGAGGTGCTCCTATGTTGGGTGCATAAATATTTACAATTGTTATATCTTCTTCTTGGATCGATCCCTTGATCATTATGTAGTGTCCTTCTTTGTCTCTTCTGATAGTCCTTATTTTAAAGTCTATTTTTTCTGATATGAGAATTGCTACTCCAGCTTTCTTTTGGTTTCCATTTGCATGGAATATCTTTTTCCATCCCCTTACTTTCAGTCTGTATGTGTCTCTAGGTCTGAAGTTGGTCTCTTGTAGACAGCATATTTATGGGTCTTGTTTTTGTATCCATTCAGCTGTCTCTCGTTTTATAAGGAATGCATTTGAGATGCTGGGTTTATCCATGAGTGTGGTCTTTTTAATTTTGCAAATATTACAGAAACAGGGGATCAATATTTATTGAACAGGTCCCTTGTCTGATGCTACACTGAGTATTTCACATCCTTCCTCCTTTGTAAAATGCAGACTCCTGCTTTGCAAGTCTGTCGGGAGACCACTGTGAATGAAGCATCTAGTCCTCGGTGAGGGTTTGGTAACAGCAGCCAGGGCACCAGTGGCTTTCTCATTTGACTCCCACTTTACATATGAAGAAACTGAGGTTCAGCAAAGTAAAGAAAGTTGCTCAAGGTCACCCAGGGAACAATGCAGGCAGGATTCCACACCATGCTCGGTTCAATCACTCTCAGTATACCTACCCCTCCTCTGTCCATCATGGGGGTAAACCAGGGGTAAACGACGAAGAAGCTGCCGCTGTGCTGGGTCTAGAAAGCTGAGCCACACTGTCTTTTTTACCCCATCCAAAAAAACAAAAACCTGATGGCCTCCACCCTCTTCTTTAATCCCTGAGTGGAGGATCTCCAGCTAGCCTCCACTGAGACCTTGAGTTCCCTTTTCCAGTAGAAGGTGAGGGGACAGCTAAAGCCACTGAAGTGCCCCAAGTTGCTTTGACACTGGGAGAATTGCTCCCTCCAGGGCCCTGTGGAGAGCTGCCCTTCCTGCTGGTGTTGGGAGAGACCCCAGGTTCTGAGCAGCCAAGGGTAGGGCATAGGGTCAGCTGGATGCCTCCATCGCAAGGGCCTGAGCCTGAGTGCCCTGCCCTGGCCATCAGAGAGGGCTGGTTATGTGCAGAGAAGATGGTGGGAGGAGGCCTGGTGAGGTGGGCTGGCTGACTTGTTTGCAGACACGCACACCTTTGTTTTCCCCTTGGCGGCTCCACTGGGAAACTGGCCGGCAGTGTACGAAGGGCTGACAGGTCTCACAAGATACAGGACTCCACACGTTCATGGCTGTTGAGTAGATGAATCTACTTTGCCGCCCTGCTCTCTGGGGACTTATTTGTCAATGTGAAAAGAAATGATACAGGAACAGTTACCAAATTATACAACTCCACACAATGGAAATCCAGGAAGAGATGCACAGAGAGGAAGCTCAGGATAATCCTGTGGGCTCCTGGTAGCAGGAGAACCTAGAGGCTGCTTGGGGTCTTCCAGAATCCATCTGTGTGTTAGCCAGGGAGTGGGCAAAGGCCTGAATAATGCACGTCCTCTGTCCTGTACAGCATATGGCTGGACTTGAACCTGGAGCTCAGAATGTCTACACTGACTTCTGAGAGATGACATTTCACAAGGAAAGCGTGGTTATGCTTATAAAAGTTTCCTCTAATAAATGCATCCTCTTCTTTTTTGGTTGTTTATAAACTCCTAAAGAAATAGTGCTGTTGGTACCAGGATGGCTGATCATTTGATGTAAGGATCCTGAGTCCTTATCTCTTGGCACAGATTGCTTATGCATTTATTGCCTTTTTGGTCAGTTACATATACACCCTTTTGACATCTGCCTTGCTGTTAGCAATAAAACCTGAAGAATGAGGGCAGCTTTCCTACCTCATATTTTAAACACCTGTTTAAAGAAGTAACCTCTACCCCTCAAAGACAAAGAGAGTGATGTCTTGGGTAGCACACTGGGAGATAGAGGAATGAAAGATGCTCATGGCTTTTCTCCCTCTTTTCTAAGGATTTATTGAAGGGTAAATCAGAGCCTCACTTCATCCTGGAAGGTGTGAGCAGTTTCGACATCCAACAGGGGGAGGCAGGTAAGAACTCAACCTCTTCCTTCCCAGCCCTGGATTGATGCAGGCTGCCCAAAGTCAGCCTCAGAGTAGGGGGGGTCAAGAGCAGTGCCCACCCAGACCCCCAGAATGCTGCCCCATCTTCTGAGGAGGCAAGGCTGGCACCCTCGGTGTTGCTGTGGACGGACTGTTCACACCCAGACCCTCAGCCTGGAAGTCGGCTCAGTAGCGGGTGTGCAGAGCCCTTTGGGGAGAGCAATTATCAAAGAAAAGGAGCAAATAGACACAGAGTTTAATCTGAGCACTGAGTAGAGAGAAGCATCAGGGAAGCAAACGTTAATTGAACTTCTGCAAGGCTGTGCTAGATACTTTGTATGTGCTATTTCGGTAAAACCATTACTCCCATCACCACCTCTACCCCCATCACTCCCATCACTACCATCACACCAGCACCACCTCTACCCCATCACCACCCCCACCCCCATCACTCCCATCACCACCACCCCCCCATCACTCCCATCACCACCTCCACCCCCATCACTCCCATCACCACCACCACCACCCTATCACTACTCCACCCCATCACCACCCCCACCCCATCACTCCCATCCCCACCACCTCCACCTCATCACTACTCCACCCCATCACCACCCCCACCCCATCACTCCCATCACCACCCCATCACCACCTCTACCCCTATCACTCCCATCACCACCACCACCCCATCACTACTCCACCCCATCACCACCTCTACCCCCATCACCCCTTTCACCACTACCACTATCTCCATAACCACTACCATCACCTTCTCTATTTTGCTTGGAACTGAACCCAATGAATCTTTCTTCTGGTTCTCCTCTCTCAGACAGAAAAAAATGCATTATTCAGAAGGAGGTATGCTGACTCTGTGCAGTACATGGGATGGGGCTTCCAGTTGTGTCCAGGCAGCTCTCATGGCTTATGTCCCCTCCCAGGAGATTGCTGGTTCCTGGCAGCACTGGGCTCCTTGACACAGAACCCACAGCATCTGCAGAAGATCCTAATGGACCAAAGCTTTTCATACCAATATACAGGGATTTTCCATTTTCCGGTAAGTGTGCTGCTGGGATGCTCCTTAAATGGGATTCTCTGTGAGCACAGGAAGGCGACCGTCGTGAAAGTTCTGTTGGTCTGGCAGCCCGAGATGTGGAAAAGACACTTATGTGTTGTTACTCTGTGTTGGCTCATGATCTGACGACACATAGGGAGGATGAGAGTTAAAATGTTTTCATGTAAATATAAAGAATGGCAGAAACAATCAGCAAAAGAGAAGAGTCATTCATCAAGAACCCTGTACGTCATTGAGATTTTGTCTGTCTATTCCTGTGCCATATCTGGTTATTTTGCTTACAGTAGTTTTAGAATGAGCTGTAATATCTGGTGGCATAGGTCCTCCTTCATTATTCATTATGCTTGCCCCCAAAATATTTTATCTTGGTGATTCTTGCACATTTATTCTTCTATGAGAATTTTTAAATCATGTGTCTATTTTAAAAAGAAAAGCTGGGCTTCCCTGGTGGCGCAGTGGTTGGGAGTCCGCCTGCCGATGCAGGGGACACGGGTTCGTGCCCCAGTCTGAGAGGATCCCACATGCCGCGGAGCGGCTGGGCCCGTGAGCCATGGCCACTGAGCCTGCGCGTCCGGAGCCTGTGCTCCGCAACGGGAGAGGCCACAACGGTGAGAGGCCCGCGTATCAAAAAAAAAAGAAAAGAAAAGAAAAGAAAAGCCACTGTGATGCAGAATAGAGCAGCATTAAATTTATGTATTAATTTGGAAAAATCAAACTTTTATTACTGTAGTTATTCCTTTCCAAAAAGACAGTATATCTTTCCATTTATTTGGAACTAGTTTTATGCCCTTCAGTAAAATGTTATAGTTATGTTTTGATATTCATGCTATACCCATCTTGGTAAATGTATTCTCAGATAATTTACAAGTTTGTAGCTAATATGAATGATTTTTCTAACTAGACGTTGCTAAAAAGAGGAAAGCTGTTCCTTGTTTTATATTAAGTTGTATCTAGCCGCCTTACCAAATTCTTTTATTAGTTCTAATTTTTTTCTTTAGTAGTGTCTGGATTTTTTTTTAGTTATATTATCCACAAAGATAATTTTGCCTCTTCTTTTAATATTTATAGAGCTTATTTTGCTCTTTTGCCTTGTTGCATTAATTAGAAGGTTGCAATTTTGAATAAGAGTGACAAGAGCAAAATCCTGCTGTCTCTTGGTTTCAGTGACATACTTTCCTGGTTTGTCATTCTTTTAATCCGCTGTTAGATTAAATTTGCTAAAAATTTTATTAGAATTTTTACATCTGTATCACATGTGGAATTGGCTTCCCATTGTTTGTTGTTTTTACTGTGGAGTTATGCTTGCGTTTTAATGTGAACCTATTGAAATTTACTTTGATCTGAAATAATTTGTATAATGGCTGTTAATCATTGATTATCTGTTCTTTAGAAGTAAAATAGGCAATAGTTAAATCGTCTGGACCTATCTCCTTTTTATTTATTTATTTATTTTTGCGGTACGTGGGCCTCCCACCGCTGTGGCCTCTCCCGTTGCAGAGCACAGGCTCCGGACACACAGGCCCAGCGGCCGTGGCTCACGGGCCCAGCCGCTCCGCGGCACGCGGGATCCTCCCAGACCGGGACACGAACGCGTGTCCCCCGCATCGGAAGGCGGACGCCCAACCACTGCACCACCAGGGAAGCCCCTCTATCTCCTTTTTAAATATGATTTCTTAAACTCTTCTGATGTGTTCAATAGCTGTTGATCTGCTTGGGCCTCTTATTTCTTCTAGAGTTAATTCTTGAAATTTATATTTTGCCAAGAGAACCAACTGTTTCTTCTGTAGTTCCAAATTTATTGCACCGAAGTTGCTTATATAATTCTCTGAAAATTTATTTTATTTCTTCTAATTTGTGATTAAGTCAACTTTATTAATCCCTAAACTATATTTTTATTTTTCCTTTTTTCTTAATCCAGCTCTTCTTAATCCAACCAATCTACTGTATTAGTTTTTGAATGACTCAACTTTCAATTTTCATTGTTCTTTCTATTCTTTTTCTTTTAGGGTTTTGATTTCCATATAATTAATTTCAATTTATTTTTATTAATTCCCATTTACTTTCTCCTGGTCAATTTTATTGGTTTTTTGTTTTCTGAAACTATACACTTAATATTCTTTCTTTTTTTCTTCATGATAAAAGATTTAAGACTAAAATTTTCCTTCTCAGATCTTTTCTGTATCCATCGATTTTAATATCAAATGTCTTTTATTAATTTTAAGTTAATATGTTTTTAGCTTTTTTACGATGTTTTTAGTTTTGATTAAGTTTTATAGGGGATCATCTCTTGGTTGTAGAATTTTAGACTTATTAGATGATGATCAGAGTATTCTGATCATCATAAACTCTCACATTTGGGGAAATTATTAAAGTTTTATTCATGGCCAGGTCCACAACAGTTTTTATAGATGCTTCATGGACATATGAGAAGAGTATATATTATCCATGATATATGGGATCAAGCTCTCTGATTTGCACATTGTATAATCTGCAATTATCTCTTCTATCTTGGCTTATTTTTTGTCTATTTGATTTGTCATATTCTAAAAGAAGTGAGTTAAAGTTCTTCCCCAAAGTTATAGTTTGGAGGGTATCTCATGCTCTGGCTTTATACTTTTCCTGCTCTATTCTTTGGTGCCCAAATATTTATGTTCTTGCTCTCCAGTTGTTGCAGTAAAGCTTACACAATATCCCTCTTTGCTATATTTATGCTTCTGAACTTGAATTCCTCTTTATCTGATATTCACATTGCTACTCCAGCTTCCTGTTACTTACATTTCCCTATCATATCGTTGCTCATCCTTTCACTATCAATTTCATTTTCACTACGTTACCAGTATATTTCTTGTCCAAAGAATATTCAAAACTCATTACTCACCATTGTTTCTTTCAGCCTTCGTTTCCTCTTAAGATTTTTGTTCTAATTTCATCCACATTTGATAGGAGTAGTTCCTTGAATAGTTTCCTCAGATTACATGAGTATTTTTCATTTGCTCTTACTTAAGAACAATATTTCGGTTGGGTTTAGGATTTTTGGATTACATTCCTTTTCCTCAAGAATCTGTAAACGTTTCTCGATTGTCTTGTACCTTCCCCAATGTTGCAGAAGAAAAATCCAATGCTAATCTATTCTCTTGACCTTGTATGCAACATATTCTCTCAAATTGCAAGTTTATAGGAGGCGATCTCTCTCCTTGGTTCAGAAATTTCTCTAGAAATGTCCAGATGCGTGAATTCCAGGCAAGATTAATCTCGCCTGGAATTTAGTGAGCACTTTTGTTCTGAAGACCTGCCTCCTTTTTCTGCTCAGCTGTTTCCCTCCATTTTTTTCTGAGTGTCCTCTTTTATCCTGTTCTCTCTTCCTGAAGTCCAATTATTTGCATGCTAGGTCTTCTAACAAGCTCCCAGATGATGCTGATGTTGCTGGTCCAAGGGTCACACTGAGGAGTTAGCCAGAGGGTGCAGTGTTTAGCTGTGTCTGGGCTCACCTCAGGGGTGCAAGTGTTGGTGGGGTGACAGGTAGTTAGGACAAACTGAGGCCCAGGCTGGACATGCTTTGCCCTTCTGGTGGTGAAGATAGTCCCACAGTTCCCCAGAAATAGCTACAAGTGCTGACCTCTGTACATCTCATCATTCTGAGCTTGGGCACTCTTCTCTGGAAAGGGCCCAGTGCCTGGGCAACTTGGATGCTTTGCCCAAAACACTTCTGGTTTCCCTCAGACACTTGGGTACTGGCTCAATGGCACCAGCCAGCTTCTTGACGGGCGCAGACATTATCCAGGCGCCAGCCCTCCTCACCCAGAGCAGTGAACCAGGAAACACAGATCGGTGGCCTCATTCTTAACCACCAGTCAGGCCATTTTCATCCTTTTTGGGAACGATGATCTTATCTGAGGTTCCCTTTGTATAGGGAGAACAAGTCTGGTCAGCATTACTGGTGTGGGAAGATGTGAGTGAGGGTAGAACCAACAAGAGGATCTCGTTCAAGCCAGGACTCACTCATTCTTTATGGCCTACTGTGTGCCAGGCACTAACCTAAGTGCTGAACGAAAAGCCTGTCGAGAAACAGTTCTTACTTTCAAACCTGTGATCTCACCTTCACACACTCATCTGATCCCATCACAGTAGGAGGTAGCTCTTACTCTTACCACCATTTGACAGATGAGGAAACTGAATCACAGAGAATTAAGTGTCTTATCCAATATCTACTGCTCGGGACAAAAAAACAAAACCAGGACTGGAGCACGGTTCCACTGACTGGATACCACCTACTACACTTTGCTATCCAATTAAACCCCACATCCAGATGGGTCTGTCCTTCTAGTATCCTCCTTCAAGGAGCTAGCGTTAGCTTCCCTGATGCTTCGGACAGGTTTCATGATCTCACTGTAATAGCATCCCTCTTGGCTCCCAGCCTCACCCTCCTGTGCATCTTACTGCAGTCGGGAAGCAGATCCACAGCTGGGGCAACACCAGCTCCAGTGCACTGTCATTAAAGACTGCGAGGACATCTTCTTTGTCTTGTCTCCACTGACATCTCTGTCTTGGTCTCCCTCCCTGCTTCGAAAGTGCATCCTCATCTGTATGCAAAAGCCCAACATCTGGGACATCCGGCTGTGGGCAAGTCTCCCTGTCACCACCGAGCAGATGATGGATTGCATCCACCCAGCTTTACTCCAAGCCCGACTATCGGAGGCTTGCCTGAATCTTGTCAAGACTCAGGCCTGAAGCCAGAAGCCCTGTTGCTGATCCAGAGACCAGCAAACCAACTCCAAAAAGCTGGCTTTGTTATGAATTATCCTCATTTGGCAATGCCCCCGGGTGAACCATTAAGAGTTGAATGCTGAAGATTAAACCACTCTGTTTTGGAGAGGAGCATCTGGTTCATTTGCACGCTTAGCAGCAACAGTGCCAGCCCGCTTCATGGCGGCTGCTCTGCTGGCAGAGACAGCTGGACGTGAGGAGAGGAGGGCCAGGGTGAGGCTGTAACTGCTCAGTCCCCGAGCAACCTCACTGTTCGGCCCCTAGGCTTCCGCCCACACTGTTGCCGCCGCATCTGGGATGCCTTCCCTGCGCCTCACCACCTGCTGGAATCCTGCCTCCTCTCTCAAGCCTTCAGCTCCCTAAAGGCTCTCCTTCCCCATCACAACACTCTATATCTCCCATTCTCCTTTGCTACTCAGCATCTGCTCCCCCTACTGCCATTTTGTAGACAAGATGTACCTGGAGAGTCTTCAGTGCGCCTGAATCTCACAAAGGACTTGCCAAAGTGAGGCAGGAGTCAGCCACAAAGTCCAGCTGGAGCCCAAGACTCCTTCCTCCCTGCTGTATTTTCCTTGATTAACTTGATCTGTGACTCACCTGTCAGTGGAGGTGACAGTCCGGTCCCCCGTGCGCCAACCTGGGCTGGAATTTTGGTCTGGATAGACTTCCTTGTTGCACTGTGGTGGTTAAGTGGCAAAGGTGGTGATCTTTTGGCCTGAGTCGGAGGGCCAGCACCTCCCTCCTGCCCCAACTCTACTAAGGCGTATATTACTCTCTCTCTCCTCCAGTTCTGGCAGTGTGGCCAGCGGGTGGAAGTGGTGATTGACGATCGCCTACCTGTCCTGAACAGTGAGCACTTCGTTAATCCTCGCAACAAACAAGAGTTCTGGCCGAGCCTGCTGGAGAAAGCCTACGCCAAGTAAGGATGGGCCCGTCCCTCTGCCCAGGGCCTGGATGCTGGCCCTGCCTGCCCAGCCACTTGCCCCGGCTGACGCTCCCCACCAGCCGGCGCTAAGACTTTTGGCAGCTCTGCTCAATGCAAGCGATGCCCCTGGGAGCCTCAGAGCCTTTGCCCCCTTGCTGGGCATCCTCCATAAATAATCACTGTGCGCAAGGCTCAGCTGGAGCCAGAGGAGGGACCCAGAGACACATGGCGAGGGGTGGGCAGGGCAGAGCTGGACAGAAATAGGCACTGACAACGGTATCATTGTCAGGGCTGGTGTACGGGCGCAAATAAAATGTAGTATCATATTCAAAGTCTGCTGAGAGGGGCAGAGGAGAGAGACAGCAGTTCTGACTCACAGAGACTCAGCTGGGACTGCACAGAGGAGGTGGCGTTGAACGAGGCCTTGAAGGATGGGTAGGATTTCAGAAAAGAGAGAGGAGATATGAGGGGGGGAGTGATTTGAGCAGTGACCCGGGCGGGACACTTGGGGACCTGGTGTGGCTACCGTGAGATTGCATTTATGACTGGGGGCAGGGCAGGAGCTGTTTATTATTATATGGTCCAAACACCATGAGGCAGGGGCTACCTGCTGGTGTTAACAAGCTCGAGGACTTATAAACTCCCCAAGTCACCTGTTCCACTTAGACAGTTTGGGTTGCTTTTATTCAACAGCTGTGTATGGTGCATTTAATCATAATCCAGGCACTGTGCTGGGCACTGGGAGAGACGCTCACGCTGGCTCAGGCGGGGTGTGCAAGAGTACGTGTGTGTGTGAGAGGTCGCTGTCATCAAGACCCACACAAGTGAGGGACACATCAGAGCTGGAAGCCAATGCTAGGAGACAAAAGGTCAGGGGCCCACACATTTCAGGAGAAAAATGAATAGGGGAGAGTGCCCTGGAATCACGTTCCCCAAAGATCTTCCTAACCAATGCCTCATAATGACAAGTGGGGAAGCCAAGGCTCTGAAGAGTGATGTGATGGCAGGTGTAAGCGATTAACCTGAGTCTACTGAGGTTTTTGGTCATCTGATCAAGTGACATCATTTGGCAAGACTGAAGACCCCGCCCCATCCAGTCCCGGGCCCTGAGGAGTGGTTACGACCCGCAGACTACCCCAGTCCTTGTCCTTCTGGAAGCACATCTCAGGGGCTCTTTTCATGCATTCTTTCTTTTGAGCCCAGCTTGTGCAAAACTAGAGCTGTTGCTCATTTCCAGCGTCAGGAAGAGCTGGTCATTAGCATTTGAGAATGAAGCCCAGAAAACAGGCGAGGTGGATGAAGCAATCCATATGTTTGGGGAGGTTAATTCACTTCTAAGCTACTTATGCAAACACTGCCATTATCTTTCCGGGGTGGATTCAGTGCTCACCACTCCAGGGCCTCTTTTTTTTTTTTTCCTTATTGAAAGGGGGGAGCATGGCAGTTCACTTGGAGAATTAGAAAGCTCGCAGATGAAATGATGACTTTGACCCGATTTTTGTTAACAGCTGACCTAAAGCAATCATTCAGCTTGAAAAGAAGTGGGAAACTGGACCCAGAATCCACATTCCACTGCCTGAAGAAATCTAGTGCAGGAGAAAATGTTTCAAACTCCAAAGCAATTTAAAAGCTTTCCCCTCCATCCAAAGAAGGGGGTTATAGAATGCAGGAGGAAATCAAATAGAATTACAGCACAGCAGAGCTAGACGGAACCTCTGTCAGCATCAAACCCTACTTTCTTTGAAAGATGAGGAAACTGAGGCTTGGGGTGGGGAGGGGCAGTGAAATGACTTGCCCAAGGTCACACCGTGTTTGAGGCCAAGCTGGGATCAGGTCTGTCCTCCCCAGTCACGTGCTTTTCCATCATTTCTTGATACTGTCAGTCCTAGAGGAAAATGATTTGTCTTTTTGCGTCTTTGGAACTCAGTGTCTGGCACAGAGGGACCACAGCGCAAGCATAGAGAACCCACCTGTCCAGGTGGAGATGGTCCTCTTTCCCTCCAAGGGTGTAGGCAATACCGAGTGAACATGTGGATCCCAAACTTTCAACCATTCTTGCAGCTGGGGAGTCAGAAATGAATTGGTCAAGTGAGTCAGATGTGGAAGGAAAAAAAATCTTTGTTTGCAGGGTTCTTTTCCCCAGAGGTCATAAAATAGGAGAGTGGGAGACAAGGTCTGGTAAGCTGCCTAGCACCCTTTCTGGAATCTCTGTGGCTCAGAATTATAGCCTTTCAGCATCCTTTCTGGATCCCGATTTGACATCTGAATTCTTCCCCCTCTCACATCCCTGCCAGGCATGGAGACGTTTCCCCAACATGAGGCGGAAGCCGAGGGGTGAGAAGAAGGCTCTCTCAGAATTCCTGGGTTCAGGTGACACGCGTAGTGACAGGTGTGGCGAGCACAGCGCCCTCCCTCTTTCCCTCCCCTTCTATTTCCTGGCAGCAAAGGGAGCTAAGAAGAGTTGACTTGTCCCTGAAGCGCGAGCAGGCTCTGAGCGCGTGTTCGTAAAGCAGAGAGGGAGCGCTCGTTGCCGAGACGCCCCGCTGCTGCTGGGACAGGCTGCGCGGGCGTCGCGGAGACACAGCGAGAGACGGCTGCGGAAGACGCCGAGAGGGCGCCGCTGGCCACGGGTCCCTCCCCTTGCATTGGGTGTCTCTGTGGTGACTGCAGAGTGGGAGGTGCATGACATCAGACCGTCAGACGAGGCCCGTAGACCCTGAGGCAGTGGCCCTGGAGTGACGGGGCACAGCCAGCAGCCGCTTTCCTGGTGTGGCTCCAGGGAAGCTCTATTGGAAGCCAGAAGGGGGTGTGGCAACACGGGAGGTCATGCTGGCGGGCTCTGGAATGGGTTCCAGAACCCTAGTCTTGGTGATCTTCCAGCACCCTCAGCAAAGCCCTCTTAATCTAGGACCCAGAGCCAGAAAACGTGGGAAATCAAGTGAGTCAGACGCTGAGACCTACCTAGGCATGATCGAAGCTTTGCAGTTGACTAAAAACACTGCAGAGATAAGAGTCTAATACCAGACAACCCTGGTCAGAGAGAGGGAGAGACAGAAAGATAAGACTTAGAACCAGTTTAATAATGAGTTGAGATCCATCTGCCACCTGGTTCCTGTAGAATGGCCCTTGGGTTCTGTGGCCTTTGCTTTCATTAACACAAGACTCTCTACGCCGTCCATAGTGTTTGCTCCTGGGACGGTGTCCTGCTGAGAGCGGCTGCTTGATCTGTATTTGCTGAAGTGAGTTTACGTGAATTCTGGGGGACCCCAGGAGGAGAGAACTGCAGAGGTGGAAGTATGGTGAGAGAGGGGTGTCTGAGGGGCCCCAGAGCTGATCCAGGTGAAGGGCCGAGGACCGAGAGGGGTCTTGTCCGAGGCCTCGGGCCCAGTAGAGGCAGCAGCAGGGTGGACCCACGCCTGACCCCCACGTGGTTTTGTGTCACCAGAAAGCAAGCAACAGCTGGAGCTTTTCTGCGGCTACCAACCTGTATGGGGCTTGGCCTCTGCTTCCCTGTCAGGGACAGGAAAACTTAGGTCCCGGCCGGAGGCCTGAGTGACCAGGCAGTGTGGGAACATGCCCACTGGACAGCTTTGACACCAAGAGGCAGGGTCTCATGCCTGGCCTGACTCAGCTCCATGCTGTTGTGGGTTTGCCCTGCCTATATTTTGGGAGCCCATGGGAACCTTTCCAGTTCACCCCATCGACAGGAACTTGAGTTCTCAACACAAATCTGACCTCATGTGGCCCCTGCTTCAGTGGTTCTCCTTGTGAGTGATCAATCCGCCCTCTCTCCCGGGAATACCAGTCAGTCCATCATCACCCCCACTCCACCACGCTCTTCCGGCTCCGGAGCCTACCTGATTTGATTCTTCCTCTCCAGAATGTCCATCCCACTGTCCAGACCTGGATAAAACTCAGTTCAGAGTTGTGACCCCTCTCAGAAGCCTTCCTGGGACCCCCAGTTACTTCCTCTCTGTTCCAAGGTGATCCACGCACTCTCACAGCAAATAGACACCCAAGGAAGGCAAAGCAACCCGACGTGTCCGTCTAAGGGGAGAGCATGTGGGTGGTGAGTGCTGCTGTGGAGGGGTGGACGAGCTTGGCGGTAGAAGCAGGTGAGCATGGACTTGCTGTCCTGATCGTGCTCACAGCAAGCACACCTCCACAATCCAGACCCTCTCCACGTGCTGTGCGCGCTTCACCTGGCAGCACGACCGCAAGAGCCCATTCCCTGGAGGAGAAAAGGGGGCCTTGAAAAGCTCAGCCTCCCGCCCAAGAGGAGAGCTCACGAGAGGGGAGGCCAGCAATTGGGCTGAGCAGATTGGCTCTTGAATCTGGAGACTGTCTAGTAGGTAACTGGGGGAGAATTGGGAGGAGGACAAGATAGGGCAATAAGACAGGGCATTTCTCAGGGTGTGGGTCCAGAAGCAGAAACCCCATGGGAGGGTGGGAAGAGGCATTTTTAAAATATTTATTATTTTTAAAATTTATTTGGCTGAGCCGGATCTTAGCTGTGGCACTCAGGATCTCTAGTTGCCACATGCGGAATCTTCATTGCGGCACACGGGATCTCTTAGTTGCGGCATATGGGATCTTTAGTTGTGGCATGCGGGCTCTTACTTGGAGCATGCGGGATCTAGTTCCCTGACCAGGGATCGAAGCCGGGCCCCCTGCATTGGGAGCATGGAGTCTTAACCACTGGACCACCAAGGAAGTCTCGGAAGACGCATTTTGGAGAACAGGTCTGAGAGTTCTAGGTGGTTTGCTTTGGGGATGTGTTATGTAAGCCTCACCCTCACCTGTGTTACCTTCAGTGACATCACCTCACTGGTGATTCTGGGGGGAGTGGGTTAGTTCTGAGGATGGGAATGGGGATTCTGGGTCAAACTTCACACAGAGTAAGAATAGAGGCTGCCTACGGCCACAGCGAGCATCACAATTGTTGACTGTGGGCTCTTGGAGGGCAGGAACAGGGTCTCATCCATCTTTGAACACTCAGTGCCTAGCAAGGTACCCTGCACACAACCAGTACTTACCACTGTTGTTAAACAGGAAACAGTGGATCCTTTTTTTTTTTTTAACATCTTTATTGGAGTATAATTGCTTTACAATGGTGTGTTAGTTTCTGCTTTATAACAAAGTGAATCAGTTATACATATACATATGTTCCCATATCTCTTCCCTCTTGCGTCTTCCACCCTCCCACCCTCCCTATCCCACCCCTCTAGGTGGTCACGAACCACCTAGCTGATCTCCCTGTGCTATGTGGCTGCTTCCCACTAGCTATCTACCTTACGTTTGGTGGTGTATATATGTCCATGCCACTCTCTCACTTTGTCCCAGCTTACCCTTCCCCCTCCCCATATCCTCAAGTCCATTCTCTAGTAGGTCTGTGTCTTTATTCCTGTCTTACCCCTAGGTTCTTCATGACATTTGTTTTTCTTAAATTCCATATGTATGTGTTAGCATACGGTATTTATCTTTCTCTTTCTGACTTACTTCACTCTGTATGACAGACTCTAGGTCTATCCACCTCATTACAAATAGCTCAATTTCGTTTCTTTTTATGGCTGAGTAATATTCCATTGTATATATGTGCCACATCTTCTTTATCCATTCATCCGATGATGGACACTTAGGTTGTTTCCATCTCCGGGCTATTGTAAATAGAGCTGCAGTGAACATTGTGGTACATGACCCTTTTTGAATTATGGTTTTCTCAGGGTATATGCCCAGTAGTGGGATTGCTGGGTCATATGGTAGTTCTATTTGTAGTTTTTTAAGGAACCTCCATACTGAAACAGTGGATCCTTATCATAATAATAGCCAGTCTTTATTAAAGGCTTCCCTTGTGCCAGGCACTATGCTAAGCCCAGCCCCAGGAGGTTAAGTAACTTGTCTAGGTGAAGCAGCTAAGTATCTGGTGAGACTGGGATTCAACCCTGGCCTGTGGCTCCAGCACCTGTACAATGCTGCCACCTGTGGGGCTCCCCAGGCCCAGGAGACCAGGAGAAGGAAGCGATAATGGTGGCATATCGCTAGATTCTTTATCCAGGAGAACAGAAGGTGGGCAGGTTGCCGTAGCCCGGGGGTGGTTGGGAAGTCCATTTCCTGGGAAATATGCAGAGGTCCGGGTACAACCTCCCTTTCTGGGGCACCAAAGGCACCACAGGGGTTGATCTGCCTTTATCCCTCCCAGGTTTCATGGGTCCTATGTCAACCTGCACCATGGCTACCTCCCTGATGGTGGACCTCACGGGAGGGGTGGTCACCAGCATCAGCCTGCGTTCCTCCTCGTCTGACCTGATGACAGTGGTGAAGATGGTAGCCGAGGCAGGCTCCCTGATGACCTGCAGCACCCTGGCCGGGGTGAGTAGACCAGGAATCTCGCTGCACTGGTTCGAGCCTTTCCTCGCCCAGGAGTGTTCAGCCACTGGCCCATTCAGGGGAATGGCCAAGTGACCATCACGGAGCACTGATGCTGTGCTTTACTGACACCACTTCATTTAATCCTCACGATAGCCCTCCATCTGAAATAGGGATCGCAGAATTCACTTACAGAAGAAATGGGCTCAGAGAGACTAAGTAAACTGCTTACCGCCACACAGCCAGTGAGTGGCTGAGCAGGGTTTCAGACGCTGTCGTCTGATACTGAAGCCTTTGCCTAGTGCTTCCCTGTGACCGGAAGCAGTGGGGTCCAGAGTGAACGGGGGGCCCTTTGATTCTCACTGGCTTTAAAGGCAGCAGCTCAAAGGCAGAGTACCCCATTCTGAAAAGCCTGAATGACCCTCCAAATTATTTGAGTCTGTTCTGAGACAGCCAACACCGTATCCCTGAGGACAATTCCTTCCCTCTTTAACCATGTGGGCTTTGAGTCACACACCCCTAGTCTGAAATGCCACCTGAAACCAGAATGCACTTTAAACCCCAATTCCTCATAGCTTGGAGGTGGGAGATCTTCCCAACTCCCACAAAATGCCCAGAAGTTATGTCTTGTGTTGTGTCTCATTGATAGCAAGTAATTGGAGAAGCCAGCAGCCCACGTCCTCAGGACTTGGTAGCCTTCTGTCCGTCATGGGGTGGTCTCCTGAGGTGTGAAACGCTGGGGCCTCAAGCACCCTACAGCCTTCAAACTCTGCCTCTCTAGGAAAGAAATCCAGGAACACATGCCGTTCCAACGTGAGTCAGGGATACTTTTCATCTGGCCACAGCCCAGCTGCTGACTGAATGGTGCTTTTCTATCTTTTTGAAGAATGTGTGAATGTTTAATGCTTGGTCTGCTTTTCTCCTTTGAAGCCGACAACTGAGTCCACGAGGATGGCAAACGGGCTGGTGAGTCGGCCTGCCTACACAGTGACTGGCGCTGAGCAGGTAAGGCTCTCCGTGAACACGGTGCCCCAGGGTTCTTGCTCCCCTACACAGGAGTCAGAATCGCTTGCCTCGGTGAGCCCAAGAAGCTGAAACAAGTAGTGATCACCCTTGCCTCCACCGTGTCCAGGCCCATCATGGACAACCTCATTCCCTCTCTTCATCCAGTAGTTCTGGTGCCCAGTATCCTCATCCCCCAGGGACCCGCCAGAAATCTTACTATCCTTGAATGGCCTCAGACAGGCAGAGTGTCTAACTAGGCTGGGGGATTAGCCCAAAAAGAAAGCAGAATTAACTACCCAATTGACCTTGGAGAAAATTTTGCCCCAAAAGGGTTTTATTTGTTACATACCAACTGAACTGCTCTGACAAAGACACTCGAAAATGCAGGAGGCTCAAACAAGATCAAGTTCACTTCTCAGCTAGGCAGGTGATTCCAGAGCTGGTAGCTGGCTCTGCCATCTGCAACATGGGGCTTCTATCTGTGAGCCCAGGGCAGCTGCCTCAGGTCCCCTCATTTCCCAGCCGGGGGAGGAGAAAGAGGCCAGGGCCACTTACACATCCCTAAGGAAGGCACGTATCAGTAAAGGCACACACCATTTTCTCTCAGATCCAATGAGTCTGGACCTAGTCATGTGCCACCCTGAGGCCCAACATTGTCTGGGAAACATACCATCTCGCTGGGCTGCCATATGCCCAGCTAGAACTTTATTCCCATGAATGAGGGGAGGACGGCTACTGGGGACCAGTCTTTCCCCGTGATGCAGCAACCAGCTTTGGGTGGACGAAAATGCATATCATCGGTGTGTGCAGTAGCGTTTGGTCTGGAAAACACTACTGAGGTCCAGCCTCCTCGATTCGTAAATGAGAAGCCGACACCCGAGAGGGGAAGGCCAGGGTGATACAGCTGCTTGAAATGGCTGGGCCCAGACACCACGACTCCTGAGTTCCCATCTATGCTTATTACACAGCCGTGCAGGGACAGCACTTCCTGGCCTTGTGATGATTTCCCACAAATGTTCCCCCATCTCTGTAGTTCTCACAACTCCTGAGGTCTGATCATGTCTTCTAGGTCTTAAGAGACAGTGTCGCAAACCCCAGGGTCCATTTTTCACAGGTATTTATGGGCCGAGGAACGCAGAGTATCAGCTTCTATTTAGGGCCTATTTCTCACATCTGCCTTCCCTCTCTGCGTGTCAATCTGTCTCTCCTGTCCATTGACCTAAGGGCGGTTACTCCATTGTTTTGTGTTTGGGTGAATGTTCCAATCTGCAAAACAGAGGCAAGGTGGGAGGGAGACACAAGAGGGAAGAGATATGGGGATATATGTATATGTATAGCTGATTCACGTTGTTATAAAGCAGAAACTAACACACCATTGTAAAGCAATTATACTCCAATAAAGATGTTAAAAAACAAAACAAAACAAAACAAAGCAAACAAACAAACAAACAAAAAAACCAGAGGCAATATTTTCTCTGTCGCCTTCCTCCCTGAGGAAATCAGTACCAAAATGCCTCCTCTGCACAGCAGCTGGCGGAGAGCAGGCCCCTAACAAATGCCTGCTGGGTCAGTGGGTGAGTGCGCTCGCAGGAGTGAATGCATGCATTTGTCTTTGGCCTATGAGGGTGACATCATGGATTCTCCATCACAGAATATGTGAGGAGATCAAATGACATTTCCCACAAGCAAGGAAGAGGCCCTGAGAAACGGAAGCCATAAGAGATCCCAGTCCCAGTGGCCCCAGATGCCCTTCCTCTGGGATCTCCCTTGCCCTTCTCTGAATTCTCAGTGGAGACAGACAATACCATCATCACATCTGGCCACGGATGGACATCCTGCTCCCCGTAGCTCCCCATCCCGGATGTGGACAAGTCTAGGTTAGGGAGAGAAAGTCAGCTTTCTTGTGTGCCAGCCTTGATCCAGGCAGTGCTGCCTGGATTACTGTGTTGACAAGACTTGGGCTCTGCTTCCGGACTTGGAAAAAGAGAGCTGTGATCAATGAGTGATATCGGTGCTGGGCATGGAAGGAAGGAGCCATGGTACCTGCGTGATGTGCTGGCCATTCCTGGCAAGGCCCTTTTCATACATTGAGACAGCCTTTCTTTCTCCTCTGAATGCAGGGGAGAAGGGACTTGTGTATCCAGAGGTCCAGATGGCCATGGAATGTGAGTCCCGCAGAGGCTGGCCACGGGGATGGCAGTGACTGCCGGCTCATAGAGCAGCCAAGTGAACACCTAGGGCCAAGGTCATGGAGGTGAACTGGGGAGTGGAAGTGCGGGCTTGGCTGGGGTTTGGGCTCGAGATGATTCTGCTCACAGCCCAGATGCTTCCTCCCCCACAGCACACACTTTGAGTTGTTCTTATAACACACAGCAGTCTGAACAGGACACTCCTGTGACAGTAGGTGATAAAGACCGTGTGTCCTGCATCCACTCCCGCCATTCTTGCCACTCTGCGGCTGCTGACACTTCCCAGCCTGTGCTCAAAGGAGCACCAGCCTGGTGCGATGCTCTGTGAAAGCAGTATTCGGATGTTCACATGTTAAAGGCTCTGAGAAGGCCTGTATTAACAATATAAGTACAGCTTGGTTTTAGTCTGCCCTTAGCCATGAAACCATTTTTTTTCTAGGAGTAACAATGAACTGCCTCTGGAACTTGCATTCAAGAGAATACTTGCAAGGAATTATTATCCTCGGACAGATAACCTGGATCACCTCTTCCCAGTGGCACCCTTTCTGAGAGATCTGACCAGGGTCAGGGTACAGTCAGCAGCCAGGAGAGTGAAGCAAGAAAGTCGCCCATTCTCAGATGCAGCTGTGACCTTAGCCTCGAAGGTTACGCCTGAGGCACTTGGCCAAGGCCCATGTGATCACCAACAGAGCACTGTCGAAAAGAAGTGACACGGTCAGACAAGCGCCCAAGAACTTGATTAAAGGTTCTTCCTGCAGAAAGAGGAGGTTATAACTCTGACCACACGTGCTAAGATTAAACCAGCCCATAAATGCAGTGAGCTTTTTAATCTGCTCATCCACCCTCTGGGTGAGACACAGACAGGAAGATAAATGAAATTGGCATTTTTTACTATGCACCTAGCTGGGTCAGTGACTCCCCGGGGCCAGGGGGTACGTGTTTCTCTGCATGCCTCATTTAGCCCTGCTCTCAGCCCCTTCCAGGCACCGGCCACTCTTCTCCCCTGTGCCTGCCTGAGCCCCTGACTGTCCCTTAGGCACTGAGGGTGGCTCATTAAGCTATTTGGGCCACCAGGCGCCCGTTTCTCACGTCCCTGTTCCATGGGCTCCTTCACATGCTGGCAGTTAAGAATACACTGTGTGCAAAGCCTGGGGTGCCTGGTGGGGGGCAGAGAGGGGCACCCCCATCCCATACAGCATTAAAAGAGTACCTTCCACTGCAGTGTCAGCTAGACAGAAGTAGACAAGAAAAGAACCATACCCAAGCTGGGTTCTTGGGCCCTTGTCTGACCACATCGCTCCTTCTGCCCTACTGGTAATCACGTGCTGGCCCAGGGTTTACGTGCAAGGTCAGGGTCTCGTCCACATGTGAGAATGAGCTGGGCCCTGGAGCAGCTGTATCCTTTATCCACTCCCAATTCCAAAATTAAGAGCCTGGGCTTTGGAGACTGACAGTGGCTGGGATCAGAGTTCCTCCTCTGCCACTTACTCTGTGGCCTTGGGAAAGTTGCTTAACCTCTCTGATGCTCAGTCTCCTCTGCAAGACGAAGATTATATGAATATCTGCCTCAGAGGATGGTAGGCCGTAGTGCACGTCACAGACTCAGCCAGGCCTGTCTCCAAGCCCTGCCTCCACACACGGGTTTCTTTTCCACGTGGGAATATTCCACTCGGGACTTTCTCCTGTGACCTGGAATCAGTGAACAAGTCCGCCCCTTCCTCACCTCTCCAGGCCTCTGTCTCCTCAGACAACATTAGCACAGATCAATACTGCCACTACAACTCAATCATGCTTTAATTCCTCTCACCAGGCGGAGGCCTCCTGGATCCAGGAACATAAGTTCAAAGGGTTGTGATTGTTTTGTTGTAACTTTTCAACAAACAGTCCTGCCCTCTGGCCTCAGTGGTCTGAAGGAGCAAGTGTGCCGGCCACTGTATCTGGGACAGATGATGATGCGATCCCCTGGGGAAGGAAGGAACGTTCAGGCCACGGGGATGCCCTGCTCGCTGACAGAGGCAGGCTGCCGGGGGGGGCCGGGTGCAGCCCCGGGGCCGCAGGCTAGGAGGGCTCCACTCCCAGGCCTCAAAGGTCCTGGTCGTGCTCAAATCAGCCTCCTACTGGCCTTGCTCAGGACAGTGCTGTGGAGACGCAGCACAGCTCCCAAGGGGCCGCCAGCAAGGAAACAGCTATTTGAGTGGAATAGAGATGCCGGCTGTGACAGGGCATGGAGGAGGCTGGAGACCCATAAGGATCTCCCCTCTGCAGCCCATGGCACCATCCGTGCTATTTATCTGCTGTTGTCTCAGCTGGCGCAGGTTTTAGGATGCAGTCGTACAGACTGAGGAAGCTCACCTGCCCTTCAAGGTGCTGCACAGAAAGAAGGACCGTTTTCTCCTCGGTCTCATTCCAACTCCACACAGGCAGAGACATTGATTTTTTTTCCTTTCCATTTTTTTTTTTCCTGCTGCAGCCAAATGAGGTCAGAAGTTAAATTTGTCCTTGGAGGTGAAAAGCAGCTGCATTCATATCCCTTCTGCTGACTCTTGCTGGAGACCACTGACAGTTTTCCTTTTCTGTTCTTTGCAGATTCAGTACAGGAGCGGCTGGGAATATCTTATCCACCTGTGGAACCCCTGGGGCGAGAGCGAATGGAGAGGGCGCTGGAGTGACAGGTACGGCTTTTGGAAACCTCTCTCTCTCCTTCATGGAGACCCGGTGTTTGGAGACCATTCTGACCCATGAGGGCAGCAGGTAGATCTCACTGCAGGTCTGTCCAGCTCACACCTGTGTGTGACTTTCAGTCGTGCTACCATTCACCAAGCATCGTTTAAACACCTGCTGTGTACTCTGGACTAAGTACACTGTGCTGGGTGGGTGCTGTGGGATGCATACAGATGACAAGAGACAGTGTCTGTCCTCCAGAAGGAAGCCATCTTGAGCGATGAACCCATATACCTAGAATAAGTACGAAATTAAAAGAGGGGTAGGGTAGGGCAGGAGTCAAGTTTTACTTGGCAGACAGAGATGGAGAGAAGGAGTCTCCTTCCATAAAAGGATCCCATGGGATTCTGGTCCAGATGATGCCATGTCATCAGGATGGAAAAGACTTCATTTTAGGGGGAGCTGGGGAGCTGAGGCAAAGATCTGGCTGATTGCTTGATTCAGTCGACCTGCGTCGTCCATCCTGCCCTATTGGTCCAGACTCCCACGAGCAGCCAGTGCCTTGCTGGTGGTAGGAGTGAACAAAGCTACGTGGGTCTCAGATGCCTCTGCTGGCCGTGTCCCAGGCAGTTGCTCGCTGACCCAGCTGACCTATGGGGCCCCCGCTGTGTGGTCTGTAGTTCCCGGAGAGCTGGGCTGGTGTTTCCCAGCTGCCAGGAGGACGGATCCCTGGTCCCCACCCCTTTGCTGACTAAGAACGAGATGACAGGCCTGAGAGGGATGGCAGGCCAGCCACAGGGGACTGGCTCCTCTCAGCGGCCAGCACGGCCCAGCCTGCCCGCAGGTCTCTGAGGGCCTGTGTTAGATCCACGGAAAGAGTCGAGACACGTTGGCCAGCCGTGGCAGCTTAGCACGAGGGAGAACATGACCTGAAATGAAATACATGGCGTTCAAGCAGGTGAAAATCAATACACGGAGAAGTGTGTTCTGGAGGCAAATGCAGAGTTCTCCCGTCCCTGCCTGAGCCTGATGCCCCAGGCTGGGCGGTGCCCACCAGCCGAGGCGCCTGCACAGGTGGGGCTGGAGGGTAGGAATATGAGGGAGAGGGAGAGGGAGAGACATGAATTCTTAGCATAAACCTGGGTGTGACCTCCCTCAGATGCCCCCTGGAGAACAGGGCAGCTGAATCCCCTCCTCCCGCGCAGAAGGGGAATGAAATTGCAAAACCACGAACCACTGGACAATATTTTTACTCCCCGCCGCACTCTCTCCTTTTATGTTGCCTCTGTCCTTTCTTCCTCCCTGGGGATATCCATGGCCCTTTCCAGCCCTTCCCAGTCATCACCCCAAGCTGCCCAATATGGCACGGGGTGGGATCCGATTAGCCTGAATCCCTGATTCGGGGTTGGCTGTTGCAGTAGGAGTGGAGGAAGGGCAGATGTCAGAGGCACAGTCGTCTTGAGTAGGAGAGGCAAGAAATTCACGTGAGCTGATGTTCTGCCCACGTCCCCCGGGCTAAAGATCAAATGACCAGTGAAGGCAATAAGGGACCCCAGGGGTCAGGGAAGAGAAGCTTCCCATGGGCGGGCCTGTTCAGGGAAAGCTTCTTGAATGGGGTTGAGCTGGAGTTCAACCAAAAAAAAGTATGACTCACTTTGGAAGCCATCCCTAGGTAGGCGGGAAGTGTCGGCTGCTGCGCTGAGCCAGGAACGTCTGTAGTGTGTTCAGGGCCAAGAAGCTGGCCTGAGGCAGAGGAACCTAGGGGAGACGTGTCGGGGGCCGGAACCAGAGAGCCTGGTGCCAGCTGAGAGGTTTGGATTTGTACCTACAGGCATGGGGGTTCACAAAGGCCTTTGAGCAGGGAGGAGAGGTGTGCAGAGCAGGGACGGGGGATGGACCCTGCCATACCTACTCTGGAGGACCACGTACCCCGGCTGAGGGCTGAGGTTCCCCTTCCCCACCAGCAACCAGGCTGGAAGGAAGCGATATGGCCGCATCATCACTGTCTCCGTGCACTGGTCGATTTCTTCCCTACGTTTTTTAAAATTAATTAATTATTTATTTATTTATTTTTGGCTGCGTTGGGTCTTCGTTGCTGCGCGCGGGCTTTCTCTAGTTGAGGCGAGCGGGGGCTCCTCTTCATTGCGGTGTGCGGGCTTCTCACTGCAGTGGCTTCTCTTGTTGTGGAGCACGGGCTCTAGGCACGGGGGCTTCAGCAGTTGTGGCTCACAGGCTCTAGAGCGCAGGCTCAGTAGTTGTGGTACATGGGCTTCATTGCTCCACGGCATGTGGGATCTTCCCGGACCAGGGCTCGAACTGTATCCCCTGCACTGGCAGGAGGATTCTTAACCACTGCGCCACCAGGGAAGCCCCTTCCCTACGTTTTAAGGAGTGGAGACGGATGGGGAGGGCGGGTGGTCTAATCTCAACCATAATGGAAATTTCAATCACACACACTTAAAGACAAACTTGCATGAATCGATAGTGTATTGATTTACACTACGTTTATTTTCCCTTACACACTGCAGAAAATGTAATTATCACTTAATTATAAAATTACCATTTTACAATAACACATCTGACTGGCTCGGCCTGCAGCCAGAAGCCTGAGTGGTCCCTGCGTTGCTCTCCCGGCACAGAGGTGACCCAGGCCCCCCATGCAAGTCAGTCCCAGAGAAGAGTCTCATCACACTTTTGTGCCTTGGGGGCCGTCGCCTATGGGTGTGCCTCCACTTTCAGGAGTGGGCTGGGAAGTGACAGATGCTCCCTTCTGCCTGTGAGGCCTCCCTCCTTCACCGCAGACTCTAGGACTAGCTTCTGGAACACATTATCCCAATGAAGTAGACAGCTTTAATTATTAATTAATTAAGCCAGCAAAAAATTATGGCATCCTACTATGTGCCAAGGCATTGTGTTAAAGCCCTATGACGGATAATATAATGGTGAGCAAGGTCACTGATCTCATGACACTTGGAGTCTAATGGGGGACAGCAAGAAATAAAGAAGCACTAGTAACACAGGGTGCTAAGTGCTGAGATGGGAGTGGTACAGTGTGCCGTGCGGGCTCAAAGGAAAGGCACCCTAGGGGGGACAGGGAATGTTTCCCAGCAGAAGTGCCTTTTAGGAGGAAAGATGAGTAAAAGTTATTGGGTTATAGGACTGAAAGGAGGAAGTGTATTCCAGGCAGAGGGAGCATCATGGTGAAGGCCAAGGCGGGTCTGGGTTGGGTGCTGCCACTGCCACCAGACAGACAGGTATTTCTAAGGAAATGAAGACGTTCATTATTGCTGGAGTGTACAGTTCAAGGACGGGGGGACAGGGAGCTGCTCGGGTAAACCTGGAGAGGTAGGCAGAGGCCAAGTTCTCTTTCAGAGTTTGAAGTTCATCCTGAGAGTAAAAGGGCAGCACTGATATGTTTGAAGCAGGGAAATGCCCTAACCAGACTTCTGTTTTAGAAAGATTGTTTTGATTGGAGGTGTAGAGTATGAACAGGAAAGCGGGCCAGACTGAGTTCCGGGAGACTGGTGAGCAGTCCAAGAGGGAGATGAGGGTTCTTGAACTTGAAAACAGCAATAAGGATGGAAATAATTCGATGGCTTTGAGAGGGGTTTAGGAGGTAGAATCAATAAATCATTAATATTTGGTGATGGCTTGGACGTGGAGGGTATGAGAGAGAATAACCCTTCATGTTCTCACTTGGGCAATAGAAGGAGGCAGAGGATGAGTACATTTTGGGATACGTTGATTTCAAGGTCACGGTGGGGCTCTGGTGGAGACAAGGAATGGACCATAGCATGTATTCATCTGAAGCTCAGGAAAGAGGATGGGGCTGGGGGACAGCTTGGAAGCCATCAGCATAGAATCACCAGGTAGAGCGACACGGGCCACTCACACCCAGAAACTATTGGAGGCCTGTGCAAAGGGCCCCTGTCGGGCCATGTGTGGTTGAGATGAAACATCCTAGGAAGTCTCATCCTATGGTCTGTCTCTCCATGCCCAGGTCTCTGCAGTGGCAGGAAACCCACGACCGACAGAAAAGCCAGTTGTATGAAAATAAGGATGATGGCGAGTTTTGGTACTTACACTTTTTTCAAAATTAGATTTTAAATCTTTAACTATTGCCCAAACCCTCAATCCCCACCCTTTTCCCTAAACTTTTGTGAGAATAAAGATTCGCTTTTCAGAGATCTAGGTAGAAGGAGGCTATTTTCTCCACCAAGACACAAAAGCTTTGAAAAGGAAATTGTGTGTTCTCTCTTTGCATGAAAGGCATTTCCTCTCTGAAATGTTAGAACTCGCAGGAAATGTTAATGGTAGAAGGGAGTATTGGCACCAAAGCTTTGAAACCACCAGTTTCCTGGAAACCAGGATGCATGGTTATCATGCCTGTAACTTCTTTTGCCATCTTTTTTGGAGCCCTGGAGTGCCACAGTCTTTCCTGGCATGAATCGCAAGAGAGGAACATGGGGGTTAATCTCCCAGCCCTGACTCTAGTCAGGTGTCATCACCCAGCAGCTATGTAGGACTAGATGTTTTACAACACATCCCCAGCCCTATGCTCACATCTTAAAGAATAAGATGGACATTTCTCTGAAGGGTTGTCTGGTTTATTCAATGACATACTTAAATAAAATTTAGCATGTGTGAAAAAGAGACTGGGTCTAAGTAATTAAGAATCAGAGGGACAAATATAAATTAGGAGGAAGACTATTTCCAGTATCGCAACTTTAATCACAGGTATGATTTTAGGTGTTGAATCCATTGTATTCTGATAAGACCCCAACCGTGCATTTGGCAAAGGGCCCTAGGGAAAGGTGATTTTCTTAGCAGTGTGTAGGACCCAGGACAGAAAGAGACTGGCAGTCATCTTGCTGGCCGTGAGAGGGACCTGAAGAACTCATAATTTGACTCTGTCCTTGTCCTTCCAACCACTGGAGACATCAGAAGTGTATCTGACCACGAAGGAACCAGAATGGGGCTCTGGCCTTTGGGTAGGACGGTGGTAAATCAACGGATACTATAGTTGACAGGCAGAGGTACAGTGAAGTTACGGGACAAACCCGTAGTCATTAAGTGATGTGTCTCTCTTTATAACAGGATGTCATGTCAAGATTTACGAGATAACTTCTTCTGCCTATTTATATGTAAGCAAGTTCCAATCAGCCTGGACCATGGAAACGCACTCCATGAAAGATGGTCCCAACTGATGTTTAAGAACCACTTAATTCCAGGAAATGCGGAAGGTGGTTATGACCTTGGTAATTGTTCTGCCAGAGGGGAAGCTGCTAGCCTTTGCCCTATCCCAGCTTCAGCTCTCAGTGGCCCTCGATTCTAGACCATCAGCCTGAAGAAGAGGACTTTGTCAGCCCAAAGGGACAGCTGTACTTCTCCAGGGGAAATGGTTGCTGGTGGGGATGGGCCGGAGAATCTCCAGTGTGAATCCCCTGCTCTCTTGCTTTCCCACTGTCCTTCTACTAAGCTCCATCCACCTCCCAAGAGTAGAACGGGCCCACTGCTCTTCAGTAATTATCCAGGGGCTTCCCTGGTGGCGCAGTGGTTGAGAGTCCACCTGCCGATGCAGGGGACGCGGGTTCGTGCCCCGGTCCGGGAAGATCCCACGTGCCGCAGAGCGGCTGGGCCCGTGACCCATGGCCGCTGAGCCTGCGCGTCCAGAGCCTGTGCTCTGCAACGGGAGAGGCCACAACAGTGAGAGGCCCGCATACCGCAAAAAAAAAAAAAAAGAAAAAAAAAATTATCCAGGACATTGGGGGAGCTATGAAAAGAACACTAGGCAAAAGTCAGGGCCTGGGTTAAACCATTGTTTTTGCCACATTTGGGCTTTGTGACTCTGGTCTCTCTGTCCTCAGTCTCCCCAGCTGTACACAGTGGAATTTAGTCATCTCTATCTTCCCCGTGAAGCCACAAAGCACCGTCCAGGCCTCAGGGGGCATATTCCTGCCCATGTTGGTTGATGTATCCTGCAGCACCATACTGAGATCCCAGAGGTGGGCACCTCAGAACCTGTCTTTGGGCTCCCGGGAGATGAATCTCATTGATGTGATTTTAAGAGAGTGAGTGACATACTCTCACTGCACCTCCGGCTCCCCGTCTGTGACATGGTTGAGTGAAATATCACCCTCTGAAGATGAACCTGAGTGTGCTCACACATCCTGCATAGGAAAAGCTATACAAACAACATAGTTGTGCGTGTGTGTTTGTGTGTGTGGGTGTGTTTGCACCTCGACACGTGCATTCCCTCACCTTGGCACCAGCCTGTCGAGAATGATATGCTTGAATGACCCCACGTCTCCAGGCTCTTCACTCTGCTGGTCAGAGAACCTAGTCACCAGGAGACCATGGACAGATTCTAAGAAACCACCGAGTCGCTCGGGCAGCAAGTTTACCACTTCATCTTCCTGAGCTGCACCTGTCTGACTGTGGGCCAGCACCCCCAGATATTAGTGCAGATCGATGAACTGACCAAAATTATACATTGTGCCATCTGTAGTAATTCCTTACAAGGGAGAGAGGGAAGGGAGGCAGCCGGCGAGCACCTGCTGTGTGCTGCTAAGTGCACTTGAGTGTGTCATTGTTTGATCCTCACAGAAAGCCGATGACTGAGATGGTCTCTATGTCTCCCTATTCCCCTTTCAGAGCTTCCCAATCGTACCCCAACCTTCTGATGTCTATTAATTCATTTCTAGCTTGCCTCATCTTCATTTATTTTTCATACATTATCTCTCATGCATTTGGTTGTGTTGTGTTTTTTTTTTTGGCTGTGTCAGGTGTTTCATTGTAGCACGCAGGCCCTTTGTTGCAGTGTGCAGGCTCCTCTCTAGCTGTGGTGCACAGTCTCAGTAGTTGTGGCATGCGGGCTCTCTAGTTGTGGTGTGTGGGCTTGGTAGTTGTGGCACGCGGGCTCAGTAGTTGGGGCGTGTGGGCTTAGCAGTTATGGCTCGCGGGCTTAGTTGCCCGGCGACATGTGGGATCTTAGTTCCCCGACCAGGGATTGAACTCGCCTCCGCTGCGTTGGAAGGCGGATTTTTAACCACTGGACCACCAGGGAAGTCCCGATCTCTCATGCATTTGAATCTAATGGTTTTCACATTAGTTGTCTCCCTCTGGCTTTGGTGAGGACTCTTGGGTAGCAGAGTTCTGTGAATTGCCATCTCTCTGCCTCTCTTCCTCTGTCTCCATTGATGCTTGGGGGATTGACACCATTTCATGGCCCCATGGTTGTCACCAATGCATACTTGAGGCCTCTGGAATTCCACTTATTATTATAAAAATAGCCCTCAACTTTACAGTGTAAGAGACATTTTCACCAAGTAGGAACTATACTTTCCCTCCTTATTTTTAAGAGGAGGAGACTGAGGCTCACAAAATAAAGAAGCTTGTGTCACAACTAGTAACTGTGGGGAATGGGACCCAGGCCTTGGTCTATTAGCCCAAAGCCAGAGATTCCATCACAACCATCACAACACTGAACTGGCTCTCTCATTCCATCCTGGAATGCCAGGGATGAGCTGAAGTCCACTCACTGCCCTTTTTCATGCAGGACCCCAGAGGGACATGCAGTACATCTTCTCTGTGCCAGAAAGCATGGAAAACAACAATGTCATCGTGTCCTTCAATTTTGTCTTGCCACAAAATTTAAAGGCCACAGACAGGACATTTCCACTGAAGTCCGAGGTGTTCAAGGTAAGGCAGCATGCTTCCGGGCTTTGCCCTTGGAGGACATTTCTGTACACCTTGGAGAAAGCAACCAGCTAGGCTGGGAGACTTCACCCAGCTGCAGACTCAGAAATAAAACCCAAAGCGTGATAGAGTTCAGTTGGTGCAACTCTGTAACTCTGCAGGAAAACCTGAGACAAAGGAGGTTACAGTGGGCACAGCTCCTGCCCTTGCCACTGTCAGCACTTCCTGCTGCAGGCTCTAATGCTTGTTCCTTAAAAAGTAGTCTGGTCCGAGACCAGCTGTTGCAACAGTGCAGATTCCTGGGGTCACCCCCAAACATTCTGAGTCCTGATCTCCATGGACACGGAGCCTGAAAATCTGTATTGTAATGAGCTCCCCAGGGACTGTTTATACACAGAAATGTCTGAGAATCATTGGCTAAACTCTGGGAGGAGTTTAAGGGGAAAAACAATCCTGGGTATACAGCCGGGAGGTACGCTTTTCTCTTATGCTTACACCAAAATCGGTCAAAGCTCCATGTTGGCTTACGAGCATCTGCTCAGCCACTCATCCAAGGCCAGGTCTTCCTCTCCACCTAGCCTCCCCTCCCCTCTGATGGCTCTTCAGCCAGCCCTTCAGCTCCTAAGGGGCCATCCCGCTGCACAACCCCCAACACACACTCACCTGCACACACACTAACTGTGAGTAGGTGATCAGGGAATTCCTTTTTTTTTTTTCTTTTTTAATACCATGCAAAAGAAAGGAGTTACAAAAGAAAATCTGATGCCTGTGCTCCCTCCTCCTTTCCCAAATAGTTTAATGCATCCCACAGATAAAGTGCAGGGTTCTCAAATCATACACCCCACAGCCTCTCTGCACGAACATGGATAACTAAGATCGTGCAACCATCAAATGCTGGGATCCCCTGTCCCCATATTACAGGTGAAGAAACTGAGGCCCAGTGACGTGAAGTGACACAGAGTTAATGGCAGAGCTGGGGACCGGGTGCCAGATGTCCCTCGAGCCTTCAGTCAAACACACCCATCACTTGTGTGGCTGGAGCTCTGACAGCATCTCTACGAAGGATCCCAGGAATGTTCACTGAGACTAAGGCAACATTCACAACTAGGGCCTTAGCCCCGTCATGGACAGGCAGGGCTCCTGGGTCCTGAAACAGTCCTGTGCGCTGGCTGTGGTTCACTCTAATACGAAGGCCTCACTGATAGAGAACTTCAGAGTTCCAAACATGTTCACATTCACTGTCTCAAAAACCCCCGTACTCCTGCTTTTATAGATGTGGAAACCAAAAGTCAGCGTGAATGACCTGCCCAAGGTGCAGCTGGGTGGTGACAGGGGAGTGCCCGATACCAGAACTTGTGGTCCCAGGACCAGGGCTCTCAGCAGGACATAGGCACTTGCCTTTCTGGTGGTGCTCACAGCTCAAACAAAAATATGTTTCTGGCTCTAGAAGGAGGAGAACCCTTTGGGTCCTGCTCTCTCTGAGCACATTTCCACATCCTAGTTGCATGAAATCAATGGAAAAGAAATTGATGGGGTTTAGCACCATACTTTCGAGGTTCTGCAAACCAGCTGAGACTATCAAAGAACATCTCCTAAGGATGCAGTAGTGGACAGTTGTCATTTTCATCACCACTAGGCACATGAACACCCTTTCCATGTGGGGGGGAACCTTGGTGAAAGGCAAGGCCTGGTCTCCCACTGCAGCAGTCAAAGAGGCCAAATATTCCCTCTCCCCAGCCATTGGATGCAAAGGGTAGACTTGTGGCCCAGGCTTGTCCAATTGGATGTTCTTGGTTACTCTAGGCCTTGAGTCTTGAGGAAGTAACTAAAGGAGCTAGGACCAGCTGAGGGATTCTTTGCAGCAGATCTTTGGTGCAGCAATGCAGTCAGATCCTGTGATGGTGTCCAGCTGTGTAGCCACCTCTTCTCATTCCTGCCCACCTTCCAAGTTGCATTCTCTCGATTTCCCATTGACTCTGATTTATCTTTCCCATAAATGACCTCCTGTTCACCCCACCCTGGATTAGTTTCCATTGTTTTCTGCCAAGGATCCCAACGGATTCAGGTACCTTCTAAGAGGATCCTCATCCTCAGAGTCCCCTAATCTCACCTCTGAGAAGAACAAAATGAGAGGAGTTGGGAAGGGCTAGGAAGGGACTGAGACATCTGGTCTACCAGCAGGGATTGAACAATTCAATTCAAGTCCTGAACCAGACAGGACTCCTAAGAATATCTCAGCCAGCTCTTCCCTTTCCTAATGAGAGACAGAAGTCCAGAGAGGGTATGAGGTCTGCCCCCCATGCACAAAAACTGGGGGTGCTGTTCATATTTTCATCTGATTCTCGTGCCCCAGAGCCGAGCAACACGGCAGCCTTGTGTTTACTGATTTGCCCCAAGTCTTTACAGTTCAGGAGCCCTGGCAGTATTGTAATCATATCTGTTTTTCTAAATGCTGCCAAGCCCATTTGTCTACTTTTCGGCCAGAGACACCTTATTTCTCAGCTGCCCATTTTGCTGAAGGGGCGTGCAGACCTGGGACCTCCTTAGGCCCCCTGGAGATCCCTCTGGATCTTGCAGGATCCTGATCGAGTTAAACACCAAAGAACAGTCCAGACCTTGACAACTCAAGAGGCACTTGGGTTCCTTTGACGGTTCTGCTGAGAAACAGGCTATGTTGGTGCCAGCAGCTAGGCTGTCTGAGACTCCAGGGCTCTACTGGTGTTCGTGGGTACAGCGCTGCCCACATGACAGCTGCATACATTTCTGCAACTTGGCATGGGCCTGTGGCTCTCCAACTGCTATGGGAGCACTGCTCTGCCTTGCATCAAACCAAACACAGGTGGTGTACAAATAGGCAGGGAGAAGACAGGACAGAGAAAAAGAGCAAGGATGGATAAGCTCCATCCTCCCCCAGGCTGGAACTTTCCACCTCCCTTCCAGCTCATTCCTGATCTCCAGATAATTCTGCCCAGGTAAATCAAATGGCCTGTACGCCTAAGCGGAGCCCAGGATCAGCAGTAGGATAGAACTGAAACCCATGCCAACTGTGGAAGACAGTGCATGGAGGTGGTGGGTATTAATTACAAAGGAAGCAACACAGCTTGCTCTATTCTCACCTCTGCTACTGAGACTGCAAAGCCTCAGTTTCGGAGCCTAGCATATGCTTAGGATTACTGTGACAACTCAACACATTACATGCAAATACTTTGCAAACCATGAAGTGGCTTAAAAATGGGACTGCATCTTCAGTGCCTCCTTATGCAACATGAACAGACTGAAACATAGATATTTCCACATTCAGACCCACACATACATCCCTACAAACACTGAGGTACAGCGATTGGGAGGAGGGGAATGCTAGAACAAATTCCCACCATGCTTTACAGTGGTCTGATGGAATAACAGTTTCCTTCTCCTTGGAGCTCCAACTCTGGGGAATTTACATTTGATCCAGGTTTGTCTTACCTCCAGTTCCCATCACTGTCTCTTTTCCTTCCAATTTTATCATCACTGCTGTGAAGAGTAACCAAGCTGAGATGAGAAAGGGAGAGTCTCCTTTTCTCAGACACCTTCCTCCCACTTCAATTTCCTTTCCCCTTCATGCTCTCTACAGCAGTTGGGTTTCCTTTGTCACAGCTCTGCACAGAGAATGAGTGATGGTCCCTGTTCACTCCCAGGTGTTCCAGGGAACAGGCTGAAAGTGCGACAAAAAGGAACGCAGGGCCCCGAGCCAGCCTTCTCAGATCTGCTCGCCTTTGGGTTTTAGTTTGGGTTCCTGAACCTGCCTTTCTTCTCTTCCCTCAGATTGACTATCAGGTATGGCCACCGCCCCTGCTGCCGTCTGTCCATATTGTTACACCTCTTCCAACACCCTTGACCTCAACGTGTCTCTTGCTGTTCTCTGGCTGCCAATTCAGTCTTGCTCTGTCCTGTAATAGATACAAGCTTAGAACTTCCAAACAGGTCAACAACGCAGGGAATATTTCAGCTGTCCTTGTCTAAAGCTGGATCCCTTAAGCTGTTCTCTGGTTTGACGTTGCAGAGGGAATGCAACCATGAAACCATCCTCAAGCATTTGGCCCGATAGATAAGATTGACGCTGCCTGTTCCTTTTAAGATGAGAGACAGGGCTCATGGTCCCTGGTGGGGCCGGGGGTAGATCTTTAGCCTCCTGTATTCTTTGTCAGCCCCCAAACCCACCACAACCAGGATGCATGCAATGCAAATGCAAGTTCAAGGCACATCCTCCAACTCTTCTTACAGCCACATCACCGCCACCACCCTCCCTCCCCACCCTCCCGACCACCCACTACCACCTGCTCCTCCCCACCCCCGGCCAGTAAATATTCTGTCTTGGCATGGGTGAAAGGTGACCAAAATATGGGTAAGGATGGAGAAGGAAAGATGGAGTTTGGGAAACCTAACCTCACAGGCACTCAAACCCCTTTAGACGTGAACTCTGTGATGCGGCTGTTGCCCAAGGGGAGGTACATGTGCCAGGACGAGGATGGAAGGGAAGAGGGAGGGAGCAGGATGTAGCCACAGCCAACGGGTGGCGACTGCAGCCTGCTGGCAGGTCCAGGGAAGCTCCTCCGGCCCTTCCAGACGTCCCCCAACAGGGAGACAGAGGCTGGGACAGGTGGTCCTTGAGTAGGGGATACACAGAACCCCAGGCAGAAAGCAGACAGCAAGGATGTCTGCCTGTCACAGCGGCGGCCCAGCCACAGAGCTGGGTTTAGGATCCAACTCTGGTTCTCAGCACAACAGTCATGGAATGAGAACTTCTGGAAGGGCTTCAAGGGAAGCAGTCAGGTGCAAGGAACGAGTCAGGGTTCTAGTTCCCAGACCTGGAGAACGTGATGAGGACTTGATCGAATAAAAGATATGAGCCGCATCCCTAGAAATAGAGGGTCAGGTCTTGTGATTGGAGGAGACTCAAAGCCCACACCCGTCTGTACACAGTGCCTCCCCATGTGCACACGTGTGCATGCACACACACACACACACACACACACACACACACACACACACACACACAACAGTGCTGACTCTGGAGAAGAACTGATCTCATCGTTTCTTTTGCTAGAAAGGCCCAAGCAAGTCAGGCTCCAGAGACACTGGGGCTGCTGACAATGTCAGCAGCATCCGTTTGGAGGCTCTGCCCAGCTCCCCGATGCACACAGCAACGGTAGCCCCAGCTGCAGCCCAGCCTGGTTCCCACCCCTTGAAAAGACCCTCTCCCCGTCTCCTCGTTTCCCCCCGAGGCAGAGCTCACAAGCAGTCATTTCATGCTGCGTGACCGTTCTAAATGGAATCCCCATCTCAGTTGTGTTGGGGAAAATGTATTTAGTAAGGGGTTTTTATCGTGTAATATGTATGTGACGTCCAGTAATAGGAACTACATGATATTTATTGTTTTATCTCCAAGAAAATATTGAAATAAAAGGAGAATGATGAGGGCCTATTATTCTCCAGTGAGAAGGCATTTCAGGGCTTTACTGGAAGGAAGAAATGGAGGGAGCGAAAGGACTCCAACCCCGCAGTGCTGCAGGGGTCCAAGGAGTGCCTTGCAAAAGGGTCCAGAGAGAAAGGACTCCAAATTCCAATACTGAATTACGTTTTGAATTATTGAATTAATTCAGTATTGGAACAGTCTCACTAGTTTTCATGATTTGTCTTTGTATATAAGCAGGGAGATAAACCCAGAAGCCCAGGATGCTGTAAGATTTAATGAGGTAAAACCATGTATCGTATTCCCCTCATTCATTGTAATGTTAGCCTCTATATTAAATAACAGTCTGAACTCTATTGCATTTCGAGACTTCGGGTAAACAGTGTCTCCCTTTTCAGGGCCTGTAGTGCTGTTTGATGGATGGAGAGGGGTCTGGGAGGTAGGGGCTCTCCTGGTAGCTGTGGCCCATGCACAGAGGGGGTTTCTCACCATCATCACGTCTCTTCCAGTTCCAGCATTTCCGAGAGAGATTGCCATCCACCTTTTTTTCCAAATTCAGAATTGCTGAGAAGGGCATCGTTTCTGAAACCACATGCAGCCTTACAGAGTGTTTCAGCCTGAGCCCTATGTGGTGGTCGCCTCCGCAGGCAGAGAAGCAGTTGAGTTCTTGCTCCGAATCTTCCTAAAGATGCCAGACAGTGACAGGTACAGAACTTCTGGGATTCTAAACGTTTTATTCTACTTAATTTTATAAAAACACATTGCACCATTCTGTGCGGCAACGCACTCAGTTAGCAGGGGACACAGCACGGCCCCCGCTCTCAAGAAGCTCAGCACAGAGTGGAGGCGACAGAGTCTGTGAACCAATACGTAGACCACAAACAGGATGGGGCCATTGCCTGACGAAGTGCAGGGTCGTGTGGGAGGACAGAGTGGAGGGATTCCCTTCTGACAAGAGGGACAGAGGAAGGCTTCTTGGGGGACATGGAATGTGAGCTAGTCCTTGATGGAAAACCTAACAGTGTTTCCCAGGGGAAGGCAGTGCAGGTGGAGGAAAAAGACATGAGCAGAAGCAGGGAAGTGGGCGAGCATGGGGCTTGTTGAAGAATGAGCGATGTTGTCCATACACACAAAGGTGGTACGTGGCATGCGTGGCAATTGTCTGAAATGTGGACAGAATGTGAGGCACATCAGGGAGACAGTGAGAGATGGGCCTGAGTGATAGAGTCTGATGGTGGAGGGTCTTCATTGCAGTGAAGACCCTGCTGGGCACCTCATGCCTCTTGGCCCCGAGGCAGACATCACTACAATCATGGCAGTCTTTACCGTTGAGCATGGACGAGGCCTTCTCAGTCCAGAATGCCAGATGGTCACTGTGCCACCATTCAGAGTTGGAACCTAAGACAAATCTTATTTGCTATCCGGCAATGGGGGTTACGATACACATATATCTGGTTGTGAAAGGAACAGTTTACAAAATGATTTGAAGACCAGGGGTGGGCCACCCGAAAGACTGGACATGAGGTCAAGATGCTCGTCTGTCTGCTGACTGCCATGGCTGCCCACTTCACAGCTTGCTGTGCTGAGGGCTCTCCACGTGTGTCCTTGGCATAGATGCCCAGTGCCTGCAGGGGTGCCTGCCACATGTAAGCGTGAGCCTCCTTTGAATAGTGAGCTGGTCATCCTTGTCACACTGTCCCCCTGATTTTCTAGGAACCTGGACGATAATCCCAACCTCAGACCACTGCAGGTAAGCGTGCGGCAAGGCTCGGTTGGCAGACTTCACTGGGTCACGTCCCCTCCCCAAGAGCTTCTATCTCCTTCCTTCTTGCCTCGCCACTGACCAATGAAAGCACAGATACCACAATGCGCTGGTGATGGCTCAAAGGGGCAGGGATGAGGTGAGAAGACCAGGCCTTGAAGGCCAGGCTGGACCCAACCATCTTCCTTCCACAAATTTCCATTTTCCCATTCCCCAAAAAGGTTTGATCCAATTGCTGGATGAAGCCTCTGTCTCTGATCCAGGTGGAAGGTTTTGGGACCCTCACCTACTTCCCCAGAAATCTGATGTTGGCTGTTCTTCCTTAGATCCAGGCAAGTCGTCCAGAAATGGCTCCCAACGAAGCATTTTCTACAGATACGCTCAGCAGGTACAGTACTTAGCGTGACGGCGAGGGGCCCTACATAGGACAGGTGATGGAGGAGCCGGAGGGAAGGAAACCTCTCCCAGGTCCTTATCAGGATAGAGGAGGAAGATGACTTGATGGGTGGTCGTGTCAGCCTCTGTCCCTGGATGTCCAGAACTGATCTGGAGAGACGGGGTGCCCCACCTGGGTGACATCTGGGGTGAAGTGTAGTTTGGAAAGGAAGGGCCTGATTATAGGGGAGTGAGCTTTTAAAATCTTTAAACAAGCAATTGGCAATACCCCTTGAAATCTTTCCTTCTCCCCTTCTGCCACCTCCCACCAACGTTGGCATCCTTCTCAGGAGCTGGCCAGCTTCAGAAAGCACCAACAGCCTTCTTCCCGCCAAGCCACCTACGTGCGCAGGGGATTTTCTTAATGGTTTAATAAGCCGTTATAAAGAACTCCTTGACTTGTCAGGAAAAACCCAGCTGCCAGGGCCTCTGCACGATGGGCCTTTTACCATTAGTCGTCATGTTGGTGTGGGAAGCGGAAAGTCATATAGATGATCGCGTGTACCATGCCGACCTCGGGCAGACAGGGGCCAAGGACAGGAAGACGCCAGACATTCAGAAGGCTAACAGGGCATTGGTAACCAGGAGGCAGCCAAAGGGAAGTTATTCAGGTAGCTTGGGCCCAGAGATATAAATAAGGAGAGATGAAGAATGTGGCTGGCATGAGGGTACGTGTAATAGGGAACAGCTCAGTATGAACCTCCTTGAAATCAACACTAACCCAGGATTCAGGCCCACATCTGGGCTGACTCAGAAAGCACTTCACTTGATGCAAAACGGGATCTACTATGGTGAATGTCCCCAGTCTGTGAGCTTCTGAAGGCAGGGATGACAACGTATGCATTCCTTGTCCCCAATAACTATCACTCTCCTTGGCACAGAGAAGGTGTTCAATCAATCTGCACTGAATTAAGACAGATTCACTTCCCCAGAGCAGATGCTCTAGCTAAGGTTACTTCCCCTAGGTGATCAGCAGGACCCGGTTAGGATACGTGAGACCAAGCTTCCTTCAGGGGCAGGTGGCAAAGTCCTCAACGTGGTCCATGAACCTGCACCTCTGAAATAAAAAATATAATTTGTCATATGATAAATGGTACAGATTCCCTAATCAGGACTTTTCCAAACAACAACCAAATGTCTTCTCATAGAGGGTAACTGGCAGCCCACATGAGGCCTTCGTAGGAATTAGAATAGAAGAGAGATGGAGCTTTGCGCCAAGGTGCGTGGCTTGAGAGTAGAACCCAGACTGGACTCCAACTTCTCTTCTCCCCTTGGTGGAGACCCTTGAGCAGGGCCAACCTGGCATCACCCTGCACAACCTGCAAACTATCCTCGCAGGTTGTGTCCTCAAAAGAAAGTTGAGAGCAAAATATTCGTCCATGTGCTCACTCTGTCCTGTCTCCCAATCTCTTGTACCCCTTTATCAGCCGTAGTAGTGGTGGTGGTACCACAACCCAAGGTCCGCCTGTGGGAAAAGGAAGGACACACTCAGCCTTTGGGACAGGCCACATCCATCATCTATCATTTATGCAATCAGCAAACATGTACAGATACCCTAGGATGTTCCAAGGAAAGCAAAGCATCAGTCCTTAGGCATCTTCCATTGAGGTGTAGAGGCCGACGTGCGATTCTTTGGGCGTTTTGTTCAGGCAACCTTTATCTCCATTCCTAGCCCCATCTCTTCCAACATTATGGTGTTTGCTGGGTGCAGGGACCAGGTCAGGGGCTGTCCAGCGCGGGGGATGTGACCCATGCCCCACAGCTGCTCACGTTCTCACGTGACTCCTCACCACGGCAACTGCTCTTCATAGTGGGATGCCACGATTCTTTCGAGGAAGAAACTCAGTTGATGGCGGGCACACAACACCGACTTCCCTGACGTGACCGACCAGGGAGACGCTGGAGGGATGACCTAAGGGCCGATTTCAGATGCTGGCAGGATGTGTTGCACTGGTGACATCACTGGGGCTCATTTTTCCGGCTAAAGGACTCCAGTAAGGACAAACTGTAGGGCTGCTTTTGCCGTGTGTTCTGGGTGGTGAGGCCACCCTGGGGACTGCTTATCTGCTGTCTGTGTGGTACTGGTTCTCAGAAGACCCCAAGGAGGAACCTCCTTCCTCCTGACCTAGTGCCCCTCTACAAAGCCACCTGCCGGGCGCCCTCACTCCAACTCCTTCTCCCGTGGGACAGCTTCCCCAGGGTGGTGATGTCCCATCGTGCCCTCGGCTTTTTACCAGGCTGAGTGAAGGAAACAGCTGCATGGAGAAGAGCTCTGCTTCTCTGTCAAATCGTCACGGAATCTGCTGCCCATAAAACTGTTGGGGTCAGTGTCCCGAACAGAAAAGTGAAGGCAGTTAACACCTTCAGAAGTTCAGGCCCGGAAAGTTTCTCTCCCCTCAACCTCAGCTGCTTCCCGTTTTTTATCCGAGGAAAACCATGATGTCTCCCTTTCTGCTTCTGTGGCTGGGAAGACTAATGCTAAGTTATGTGCTCAATTAGAGCAACTTGTCCTAGCCTGGATTCCTGTCACCTAGGTATCAAATGTAAGGAGTAATCAGCACTACAGATGTTCAGGGAGGGAGTTATCACCAGGGCCTGGAGCAATCAGGAAATGCTTCATGGGAATCCCCTGGTGGTCCAGTGGTTAGGACTCCACGCTTTCACTGCCGAGGGCGCGGGTTCAATCCCTGATCAGGGAACTAAGATCCCGCAAGTCATGCTGTGCAGCCAAAAAAAAAGAAGGAAGGAGGGAAGGAGGGAGGGAGGGAGGGAGGGAGGGGAGGGAAGGAGGGAGGGAGGGAAGGAGGGAGGGAGGGAGGAAGGAAGGAAGGGAAGGGAAGGGAGGGGAGGGAGGGAGGGAGGGAGGGAGGGAAAGAAGGGAGGAAAGGGAGGGAGGGAGGAAGGGAGGGGAGGGAGGGAGGGAGGAAGGAAGGGAAGGGAGGGGAGGGAGGGAGGGAAGGGAGGGGAGGGAGGGAGGGAAGGGAGGGAAGGGGGGAGGGAGGAAGGAAGGACGGAAGGGAAGGGAGGGGAGGGAGGGAGGAAGGGAAGGGAGGGGAGGGAGGGAGGGAAGGGAGGGGAGGAGGGAGGGAAGGGAGGGAAGGGAGGGAAGGGAGGGAGGGAGGGAAAGAAGGGAGGAAAGGGAGGGAGGGAAGGAGGAAGGGAGGGGAGGGAGGGAGGGGAGGGAGGGAGGGAGGAGAGGGAGGGAGGGAGGGAGGGAGAGAAGGAAGGGAGGAAAGGGAGGGAGGGAGGGAGGGAGGGAAGGCTTCATGACAAAGGTGAGATGGGAACTAAGTGCTCAGAAATCCCAGTGCTTTCACAGTCAGGCAGGTGTGCCCCTCTGCTCCTGGGCACCGATGTGATTCCTGCATCCCTTCCTCGTTTGGATCAGGGGCTGGACATTGATCCAGGACTTTGCGCCAAGGTGCATGGCTCGAGAGTAGAACCCAGACTGGACTCCAACTTCATTTCTCCCCTTGGTGGATACCCTCCGAACCCAGGTTCAGAGCCTTCTCAACCAGGAATTCCTAGAAGGTAAGGAAGGACCTCCTGGCCCCAACCCCATCCCCATGGCCACGCCAGTCCTATGCCCCCTCCCTGACGTTTCAGTCCTTCCTGTTCTCCCCCTCAGGACCTCAGCGGACACATCCTCTTTGCATGAGTGCCGGAGCACTGTGGCTCTGACGGATGTATCCTTTGCAGTCATCCCCCTCCCGCAGCTCTAAGAGCCTGTCTGCTCCTTGGGCTTCCCCAGGGGTCTATTTAGGACACTGGGGAACACTTTTCTCACCCTCATTATTTTCCTTCTTGGTTCTGAGGGCTCACCAAAGAGCCTGGGCTCCTGGGAATTCTGCACCAACTTGCCCTCCAGAACCGCCACAGCAACAATAACAAAACTTACCACCTATCAGGCGTCTGCTGCATGCCAAGAACTGTACTGATATATATCATTTTCCTCATAATTCTTACAATAACCCCTGTGATATAAGAAGTATTGTCCCATGATCCAGTGGAAGAAACAAGGGTTCAGCCCAGATCCCACAGCTAGTCAGAATTTGTGTCTGGATTTGAAGTTGGAGTTTTCAGCCTCCAAAGTCTATGTTCTAACATTATCCTTCACTGCCTCCTTGTAGCACCAGTGGGAACTATCTTCCTTACACCCCTCTCCTTACCACTGCAGGAGTCCTCACTATTTAAATTCCTTGCTCAGCAAGCCCCCAGTTCAATAAAGATAACAGCCACCAGCCTTGCAGAAAACTCTTCGGTCTACGCGACACTTACACCCCATTATTACTATCGTGCTGCACTTGCAGATGAGACTGGGCTGGGACAGTGCAGTGACCTGCCCACGTTCCGTGGCCGCAAGTGGCGGGGCTGGGACCCAACCCCGGGTCTCCTGCCTCCCGTCCTGACTTCCGCTCTCCCCTGAGCCGTTTCTCCCCTGCCGCCCCACCTCCCCTCTGGCTCCTCGTGGGCGTATCCCCCAGCCGCTGCCTTGCAGCTCCTCCCTCGGGTGTGCACGGTCTCCCTGGGGTGACACGGGTCCCCCGGCTCTTTCACTCTTAACAAGACTCGACTGGGGATGTGAAGCCAGCCATTGTCAGACAAGAGGCCTTCCTGATGAAATCATCAGTCAGGCCCTGTCTCTGCTGGCTGCGGCTTGGAATCACCCAGAGACACTGCTCATCCCTGCGGATGAGTCCAATGGCCCTCGGCAGCCCCACATCCTGGGGCAGGCAACCCTAGGGGAGGTCATGTCTGCAGGACCCCTGCAAAGCAGACAGGTCTTTTCTGCCCTTCCTGTTGCTCACCCACCAGCTCCCCTCCAGTTTCTCAGAGATCCATTCTTTTCATTCGTTTTCATTAAACCCATCGTATGGAGTGACCAGGGCTGACTTGAATACACAGAACGCGGTCCAGCCACTGGCGCACGCTTGGCGGGTGCACTCACCTCTCATGCTGCCTCCGGAGTTGCAAGGCGCTCTCTTCCCCCCAGCTGCTCCCCACTCCCCCCTGCCAGGGCCCCCACCCCAACTGGTGAAGGCTGTGTTTGGGGCTCGCTCTCTTCCCCTGGGCACACGTGATGTTGGCTCTCCTTTCTCAGGGCCGCCTTCTCCTTCCAATTGATTGTTTTCCCTGTGAAATAAATCTAAGCCAGGTCCCTTTCAGATACAGCAAGAGCCAGCTGGCGTAGGGCCATATCCAGGTGACGCTGGACTGACTGTGTTACTAGCTGGTGGGTGGGGCTGCTCTCTGCTCACTGCACGAAGGACTGCTTGACTCTTAACTCCCCACCAGCTGAAGGTGAACGGCCGGCTTGACCAAGAGGAGTTTTCAAGGCTGTGGAGCCGTCTTGTCCACTGCCAGGTACCTGCGTGTTCCCTTTTGACTAGCACTCTTATTCTGTCTGGTTTAGCATATGTTTACAGGGTAGCCCGATCCTACACCAGGGTTGAGGGCTATGAAAGGAGAGGAGACTCACCCCCACCCTCAAGGAGGGCCCCTGTTTTGCTTGGGGATCTGTACATGCACCACTAGAAGGTACGAGGCAATGCCCGGTCAGGTGGCAGGCTGAGGACCGCTCTAGGAGGCTGGAGGAGAAACGGGTCACAGTGGCTGAAGCTAAAACTGCCAGCTAGCACTGCTCTCCTCATTGCTCCCCGGGCCCAGCGCAGCATCCCCTAGGCCACCAGTTCCCCTCATCCCCTTCCCCTCCGTCTGCCAGGACATACGTCAGAATCACAGTGTGGTCTGTGGCCTCAGTGTGGCCTCACCGTTGTTCTCAGGACAAAATTGAAACTCCTCAGCTGTACATAGGATCCTCTGAGTTGGGACCCACTTTGGGGTCCAGGAGAAGCCCTTTCCCTCATCCCACTGGCTCCATCGGACCCCAGCTCTGAGACTCCTTGTCCTCCCGTCCCTGCACTCAGAGCCTGCCTGATGCCCACCCAGCCTGCGGGTCCACCCCAAAACCCCTTCCCTGAGGGGCCTCCCCTGGAGGGCCTTGCCCGCCCCCCTAAGACCCAGCGAGTCCCCCTTCAGCTCCTAACACTTGAACCCACAACAATAAAATAAAAACCCTTTCAATTTACATATTATTTATTTATATCACCTAATCCCTGACTGGGGTCATTTGGTTTCTCACCCGGCACTGCAACGGCCAACAGTTCTCCCATTAGATTGCAGGGTCCTCCCGGGCAGGGATCCCTCATATTCGTCCTTTTCCCCAGGGCCTTCCACGGTGTCCAGCACACAGAAGGCACTCAAGAGTGCTGAACAAATGACTGAACGAACGCGTGACTGAATGAATGAGTCCGTACCTAACTGAGAACAGGCTAAGCCTCTGAACTCACAAAAGCCAGCTAAGGCCAGAGAAGAGTTGTCAAGCCGCTCTTTCCCAGTAACCGGCTCCCGCGATCTGCCTCAGCTGCACACCTGCTTGGGGGTATTTTGCTTTAAAGCAGCTCCTGGGCAGCAGCTAAGCATAGGCCAACGTTAGGAGTCCCGGCTTCAGTCCTGCGGCACCTGCCTGCTCCATTCAAGGCAAGTTACTCACCCACCTGTGTCCTCACCTGGGAAGCAGGAGGAGCCTGAGGGTTCGAGTGAGAATTAGGGGGAGGGAGAAAAGTCTCGGGCAAATGGAGAGCCGCCCTGTACAAAATCGGGGCGTTCAGGTGACTCCACACCACGGCCGTGCCTGGTCCCAGGCGCAGTTCTCACGTACCTTCAGTGCTGCCTACACAGCACTCACTATCGTGCAAGGCGCGCTCCTAAACGCTTTTATAAAGATGTGCTCGTTTACTCCTTGCAACGAACCTGTGAGGTAGGTACTGTAATTGGCCCTGTGCTACAGAGGGGGAAACTGAGGCCTAGAAAGGTTAGGTCACTTGCCCCAGGTTACACAGCTGGTAATAGTCAAGCTGGGATTTATACTCAGTGATTTGGTTGTAACGTCTGTGCTATTAACCACACCCTAGGCAACCTCTAGAGAGCTCTCTACCTCCCTGGAAAGCAGGAAGCCTCCCGGGCGGCAGGAGCCCAGTCTAGGGGGTGAGGAAGAGGAAGGAGAGCAGGTCGGGGGAGCGGGGGGAAGGTGCGGGCCTGGGAGAGGGACCCGCCGCCCCGCAGTTGACGGCCAGGCAGTCAGCTTTATCAAGCAGAGCCCATTCCCCAACCCCGGCCTCAGCTATGCACCCTGCCGACCTCTGAGCTGGGCCCACTCGTGTTTTAGTGAAGCAGCCTCCAGGGCTGGGAACGAGATTTATCGGGACCTCCCTCTACCCAGGTACCCAGGACATCCTCTCCCAGGTGGACACTGGGCTCACACGGGCTTCTTGCTTTTTCTCCCATATCAGAGTGTTTCCCAAAACTCCCGGAAGAACTCTGGAGTTTTCCCAAGCTCGGATTTGTGGAAGGCCATAAAGGACACAGGTAAAGCCGGCGACCCTTTGAGCCGTGATGACTGGGGTGTGTGTGTGTGTGTGTGTGTGTGTGTGTGTGTGTGTGTGTGTGTG